ATTACAGGCGTGAGCCACGGAGCCCGGCCAAAGTGTTTTTTTTTTTTAAGAGATGGTGGTCTCACTATGTTGTCCAAGCTGGCCTCGAACTCCTGAGACCAAGCGATCCTCCTGCCTTGGCCTCCCAAAGTGCTGGGATTACAGGCGTGAGCCACGGAGCCCGGCCAAAGTGTTTTTTTTTTTTAAGAGATGGTGGTCTCACTATGTTGTCCAAGCTGGCCTCGAACTCCTGAGACCAAGCGATCCTCCTGCCTTGGCCTCCCAAAGTGCTGGGATTACAGGCGTGAGCCACGGAGCCCGGCCAAAGTGTTTTTTTTTTTTAAGAGATGGTGGTCTCACTATGTTGTCCAAGCTGGCCTCGAACTCCTGAGACCAAGCGATCCTCCTGCCTTGGCCTCCCAAAGTGCTGGGATTACAGGCGTGAGCCACGGAGCCCGGCCAAAGTGTTTTTTTTTTTTAAGAGATGGTGGTCTCACTATGTTGTCCAAGCTGGCCTCGAACTCCTGAGACCAAGCGATCCTCCTGCCTTGGCCTCCCAAAGTGCTGGGATTACAGGCGTGAGCCACGGAGCCCGGCCAAAGTGTTTTTTTTTTTTAAGAGATGGTGGTCTCACTATGTTGTCCAAGCTGGCCTCGAACTCCTGAGACCAAGCGATCCTCCTGCCTTGGCCTCCCAAAGTGCTGGGATTACAGGCGTGAGCCACGGAGCCCGGCCAAAGTGTTTTTTTTTTTTAAGAGATGGTGGTCTCACTATGTTGTCCAAGCTGGCCTCGAACTCCTGAGACCAAGCGATCCTCCTGCCTTGGCCTCCCAAAGTGCTGGGATTACAGGCGTGAGCCACGGAGCCCGGCCAAAGTGTTTTTTTTTTTTAAGAGATGGTGGTCTCACTATGTTGTCCAAGCTGGCCTCGAACTCCTGAGACCAAGCGATCCTCCTGCCTTGGCCTCCCAAAGTGCTGGGATTACAGGCGTGAGCCACGGAGCCCGGCCAAAGTGTTTTTTTTTTTTAAGAGATGGTGGTCTCACTATGTTGTCCAAGCTGGCCTCGAACTCCTGAGACCAAGCGATCCTCCTGCCTTGGCCTCCCAAAGTGCTGGGATTACAGGCGTGAGCCACGGAGCCCGGCCAAAGTGTTTTTTTTTTTTAAGAGATGGTGGTCTCACTATGTTGTCCAAGCTGGCCTCGAACTCCTGAGACCAAGCGATCCTCCTGCCTTGGCCTCCCAAAGTGCTGGGATTACAGGCGTGAGCCACGGAGCCCGGCCAAAGTGTTTTTTTTTTTTAAGAGATGGTGGTCTCACTATGTTGTCCAAGCTGGCCTCGAACTCCTGAGACCAAGCGATCCTCCTGCCTTGGCCTCCCAAAGTGCTGGGATTACAGGCGTGAGCCACGGAGCCCGGCCAAAGTGTTTTTTTTTTTTAAGAGATGGTGGTCTCACTATGTTGTCCAAGCTGGCCTCGAACTCCTGAGACCAAGCGATCCTCCTGCCTTGGCCTCCCAAAGTGCTGGGATTACAGGCGTGAGCCACGGAGCCCGGCCAAAGTGTTTTTTTTTTTTAAGAGATGGTGGTCTCACTATGTTGTCCAAGCTGGCCTCGAACTCCTGAGACCAAGCGATCCTCCTGCCTTGGCCTCCCAAAGTGCTGGGATTACAGGCGTGAGCCACGGAGCCCGGCCAAAGTGTTTTTTTTTTTTAAGAGATGGTGGTCTCACTATGTTGTCCAAGCTGGCCTCGAACTCCTGAGACCAAGCGATCCTCCTGCCTTGGCCTCCCAAAGTGCTGGGATTACAGGCGTGAGCCACGGAGCCCGGCCAAAGTGTTTTTTTTTTTTAAGAGATGGTGGTCTCACTATGTTGTCCAAGCTGGCCTCGAACTCCTGAGACCAAGCGATCCTCCTGCCTTGGCCTCCCAAAGTGCTGGGATTACAGGCGTGAGCCACGGAGCCCGGCCAAAGTGTTTTTTTTTTTTAAGAGATGGTGGTCTCACTATGTTGTCCAAGCTGGCCTCGAACTCCTGAGACCAAGCGATCCTCCTGCCTTGGCCTCCCAAAGTGCTGGGATTACAGGCGTGAGCCACGGAGCCCGGCCAAAGTGTTTTTTTTTTTTAAGAGATGGTGGTCTCACTATGTTGTCCAAGCTGGCCTCGAACTCCTGAGACCAAGCGATCCTCCTGCCTTGGCCTCCCAAAGTGCTGGGATTACAGGCGTGAGCCACGGAGCCCGGCCAAAGTGTTTTTTTTTTTTAAGAGATGGTGGTCTCACTATGTTGTCCAAGCTGGCCTCGAACTCCTGAGACCAAGCGATCCTCCTGCCTTGGCCTCCCAAAGTGCTGGGATTACAGGCGTGAGCCACGGAGCCCGGCCAAAGTGTTTTTTTTTTTTAAGAGATGGTGGTCTCACTATGTTGTCCAAGCTGGCCTCGAACTCCTGAGACCAAGCGATCCTCCTGCCTTGGCCTCCCAAAGTGCTGGGATTACAGGCGTGAGCCACGGAGCCCGGCCAAAGTGTTTTTTTTTTTTAAGAGATGGTGGTCTCACTATGTTGTCCAAGCTGGCCTCGAACTCCTGAGACCAAGCGATCCTCCTGCCTTGGCCTCCCAAAGTGCTGGGATTACAGGCGTGAGCCACGGAGCCCGGCCAAAGTGTTTTTTTTTTTTAAGAGATGGTGGTCTCACTATGTTGTCCAAGCTGGCCTCGAACTCCTGAGACCAAGCGATCCTCCTGCCTTGGCCTCCCAAAGTGCTGGGAATAACAGGCGTGTTCCACCGCGCCCGGCCCCAAATCTTTGTCTTGGTAATGGAATAAAAAGCGGAGTATACAGTTGGCGGGTAGGACTTAAATCCTCAGATGACGCCAACGTTTCTAACCAAGGATTTCAAACGGCTCCCCATTAACTTCTCATTAACCTAGCGAGCAAGAAAGTGACACGCTGAGATTTTGGATCCTTTTTCCTTCCCAAACTCTGCCCCTGGCAGAGAAAGAGGCGCACAAACAAGGGGTGTGGCCCACTGGCAAATCAGTCAGACCGTCCCGAATCAGGGACAAACACTGGAAAGCAGAGAGGAAAAAGAAGTTTCGCGTTTCCGCTCCTGGGACTCTGCTCCAGAATTCGGCGTTACCCCGTCCGAAGCGGCGGCGTCAGAACAAGTCACTAAACATCACCCGCACCGCCTCCCGGGAGGGGCTGGGTCCCGTCTCGGCGGAGACACGGCCGGGCAGTGCGAGCACAGCGGGGCCACCCCGTCTCCCCCCAGGGAGACCCAAGGCCCAGAGGGGCCCAGGGAGCCCGACACGAAAACTCCTAAAGTTCCTGAGCAGGGACCTGAACCAAAGGTCTCTGCCCACGGCGCGGGCTGTAGGGCCGCCGCTCCGCCTGAGAAAGGGGTCCCCACACCGGAGTCGGGCGAGGGGTTCGCCTGCCGCCGCCGAACCCATCCCTGCCTGGGTCGCCGAGTCCCAGTCCCGCCCTCTCCCCGCAGGGCTCCCGGAGAGGACCTCCGCCTTCTCGCTTCGCCCCTCCGCCTCGCTCAGGAGGAGACCTGCCACGGCCCTGTCTGACCTGTCGCCGCTGGGACCGAGCCGGCAGCACGAAGCCTCCATGCCCGCCGCCGAGGAAGCCCCCACCACGTACACACTCTTCTCTGCGGTCGCCAGAGTGGCTCGGCTGGCACGCCGCCGCGTCCCGCCTCCTGGCAACCGCGTTCCACACCGTCGCCGCCGCCGATTGGTCCGTGTGCTCGTGGCTCCCGTCTCATTGGCTACTGCCGGGGCAACGCTGCGGGAGGGTTGCTAAGGGGCGGGAGGCGAGCGGGAGTTAAACGCGCCTGCGCGGGGGTGGGGTGGTGCGAGTCAGGGCTTGGTCCTCCGGAGCGCCACGCGCGTCCGGGACTGAAGGGCAAGAGTTTGTTTTTGCCTGGGCCTCGTCCGCCGCGCGGCCAGCGGGCGAGTCCGGTCAGAGGAATCGCCCATACCCCACCAACCGCCACGCACGCACCGGCTCCCCGCACCCCCGCCATTTTCACCGAGCCCACCCGGAGCGCTTGCCTAGGTCTGCCCTGTGAGGATGTACAGACCTCTGTCACTTCCCATTCTGGCCCCTGCCCTCATACCAGAGGCCTTCGTGGACCCGCTCTGGTACCCTCTCCACTCCGCCAGTCACTCCCAGTGAAACGCATCTTCCATAGGCTGGCCTTGACCTTCAACTGCACACAACTCCTTAAGCTTCCCATACTCCAGCCCAAGCTTGACCTGCTCTACAGACTCCCCTAAAGCACACGAGGGAATCCAGAGACTCTTTTTTTGAGACAGGGTCTCACTGTCTCGCCCAGACTGCAATGCAGTGGCGCAATCTCAGCTCACCGAAACCTTCGCCTCCCAGGCTCAGGCGATTCTCCTGCCTCAGCCTCTGAGTACCTGGGATTACAGGCACGGGCCACTACCGCCTGGCTATTTTTCGTATTTTTAGTAGAGAGAGGGTTTCACCATGTTGACCAGACTGGTCTCTTTACTCCTGACCTCAAATGATCCACCTGCCTCTGCCTCCCAAAGTGCTGGGATTACAGGCATGGGCCCGTCCTGGAGACTCAGTTTCCATCTACCTTTCTACAGCCTGTGGGCCTTCCTCAAACATCCATAGCCCACAGTGAAAGCCTCTGTCTAAAAGTGTACTCTGTCTCCAATAAATCCCGTCCCCAAATGTCAGTCCCTTTCTCCCTACCGACATGCACATCATCCCTGCAGAACATCCTAAGTCCTGACGAGTCTCTGCACAAATGGCTTTATGGCATTCTAAGGTCAAAGTTGTTTCCACATTGGTTTTGAACCTACAAGTTAGAACTTTAGGAAGCACACGTGGAGTGGACCGTTACACTGCCTGGGTCAGCCTGCACTCACTGTGTGACCCTGTGCATGGTTCATTCTCTGCGTCAAATTCCCATCTGTAAAATATGCAGAGTAATCCCTGCTTGATCTAGTTGGGGCTGGACCTGACACAGTAGGTCCAGCTGAATGAATGCTGGATGAATGGGGTTTAATGAGATGTACTTATCTGAGTAAAAGGCCATCTGAGACATTCGGTTGACTAGGGAAGTCCTTCTGCATTAATTACAATAAGTAATATTCATTGAAAACTTTCCTTATTTATTTATACACAGTTGAACAGTTACTCTAAGAAATCATTTTCCCACCCTATTTAATATTGATAGATTTCTTCAGTTAGAAACAAAAACTCAAAACATAGGCAATCCTAAAGAACTCATCTACGTCCCCTTTATCTTCCCTGATCTCATATAGTCCCTAAAACAGGGCTTGCTGCCCTTTCTTCTTCTTGCCTTTTCAGCAGATGAGTCAAGGTTGCAGAGGTGGCAGTCAACCAGAATCACAGAGTTTGATTTTTTTCCATCCATCAGCTCATAGAAGCTGCCATTGAGCCTGACAAGAGCTGGTACTCAAAAATGCAGAATGAATTTGTTTGAATGAGGTGATTAAAGGATTAATGAGTAGTGGTTAAGGAGACAAAGACCTTTAGTGGATGGGGTAATATTGCTGTATTACTGACAGAAGCAGGATTCTCTAAAAAAACTTTCTGTAGCCATTTACTTACATACATTTTAAAGAGTTACTACAAGATATTTTAAAAATTTAAACAGTTAATACAAGAAAAATATAAAGTGAATAGTTCATGACACTAAACTCAACTGTTCATGACACAAAGTATCTTAGAAAACAAATCTCGGCTGGGCGCGGTGGCTCACCCCTGTAATCCCAGCACTTTGGAAGGTCCAGGTCAGCAGATGAATTGAGGTCAGGATTTTGAGACCAGCCTGGCCAACATGGAGAAACCTCATCTCTACTAAAAATACAAAAAAATTAGCCAGGCATGGTGGCAGGTGCCTGTAATCCCAGCTACTGGGGAGGCTGAGGCAGGAGCATCGCTTGAACCCAGGAAGTGGAGGTTGCAGTGAGATGCGATCATACCACTGCACTCCAGCCTGGGCAACAGAGCGATATTACATCTCAAAATACAAAACAAAACAAAACAAACAAACAAACAAAAACCCTGGGAATTGAATTCCTTTATGACTCCAAAAAACATGTCTCTTTTCTATTGAGATTGCTGATGGCAGTCAGCTTTTCACAAGGAATTGGCTTCTGCTCAGCTTCCCTCTCTCCCTGAGGTAAGCAAGCAGGTGCTGTCGTCTCCTCCACGTGACCTTTATTCCATACTTGTCTTCGGGGGTGTCTTCAACCAGAACAGGTCCAGGCTCTGGGCTATCAGGAGTGCCAGTGTGAAGAGAGCAGCTTGGAAGGCTATTTTCCTTCTGATCCCGGGGAATGAGTTCTTCCTTCACAGACGATGACTCTGGGGTCTGGATATCAGGTGGAATGAACACATAAGGTAAGCTCTGAAGTGCCTGTGCTGACATGTCCCCACAGCTTTGGGGACTGAGCACTGGAACTAAGGGTCTTCTGGAAACATCCTTTTCTGATTCACTGGGGCACTCCCGGATTAAGGGGATCCCCAATGTCTCTGAATTGGAAGACTGCGGACTCTCAAAAGTTAGATGTGGAAACTTGGAGGTGGTAGATTTTCGACTTGACTGTCTCGCCCGGTTTTGGTGGTGGTGTTTCCGGTAGGCTGGAAACAAGCTTCCTGCTGTTGTATCAAAATCAGGTGATACCTTTAAAAAAAAAAAAAAAAAAAGTGGGTGAGCCTAACTAAGTACTAACCTAAGAGAGGAAACTATATCTGATGACCAGACTCTTAAATCGGGGTCTAATGTAGTAATGAACACAAAACTAAAATAGCTGTCTAATGGAATAATAACAGGATGCTTTCGGCAAATTATTCCATCTCTCTGGCCTTCAGCTTCCTCGAGTGTAGGAAAGGGGATGATGTCTCTTTCCCTTCATCACACCATAGGGATTTAACTTTTTTTCCCCCTGGGATGGAGTCTCAATCCGACATCTAGACTGGAATGCAGTGGCATAATCTCAGCTCACTGCAACTTCTGCCTCCCTGATGCAAGCAATTCTCCTGCCTCAGCTTCCCATGTAGCTGGGATTATAGGCACGCACCACCATGCCCAGCTACTTTTTGTATTTTTAGTAGAGACGGAATTTTACCATTTTGAGCAGGTTGACCTTGAACTCCTGACCTCAAGTGATCCACTTGCCTTGGCCTCCCAAAGTGCTGGGATTACAGGCATGAGCCACGGCACCCAGCCAATTTTTGTATTTTTAGTAGAGTCAGGTTTTTGCCATGTTGGTCAGACTGGTCTCAAACTCCTGACCTCAAGTGATCCACCCGCCTCAGCCTCCCAAAGTGCTGGGATTACAGGCGTGAGCCACAATGACTGGCCTAGATATAACTTATCTTTAAACTTCATGAGGGTAGAGACCAGCGGTCTTGTTCTTGATTCCCAGCACCTAGCAGAATGCCTGGAACAAAGAAGGCCCTCAGTAAATAATGCAAAGCCAACTCCAAGCACGGGGGGGGAGGAACTAGCAGAGGACCTGGCATATAATGACTGTTCAATAAATGTTCATTCCTACTCTCATCCACAGGATTCTGATGTTTAGGTTTCTTCCACAGTCCTGTAGCAGGTATTATGGTTCTTCCAAGCAGTCCTGAATAAGTTACATGTATTAAATACTCCCAAGTCAAGCTTATGTTTTTGTCTGGCCCTTTTACTACACTACTTTCCCGTTGTATAGTAGCTATATTATCTTCCCAGGGCTTCTGCTTTTTTTTTTTTAAATTTTTTTTTTGAGACAGGGTCTCACGCTGTTGCCCAGGCTGGAGTGCAGTGGCAAATCTTGGCTCACTACAGCCTTGACCTCTAGGCTCAAGAGATCTGCCCACCTCAGCCTCCCAAGTAGTTGGGACTACAGGTACACACCACCATGCCCAGCTAATTTTTCTATTAATATTTTTTAGTAAAGATGGGGTTTCGCCATGTTGCCTAGGCTGGTCTCGAACTCCTGGGCTCAAGCAATCCTCCTGTCTTGGCCTCCCAAAGTGCTAGGATTACAAACATGAGCCACTACACCTGGCCTCTCTTCCCAGGGCTTTTAAGCGGTCAAAATATGACAAATGCTATTCTTATGGGATTTTTATTTTTCAAGGCTCAATCTGTTAAACAATAAACAGAGTATCTAGCTAGATACGCCACCTTTCACATGAGGTTTGGGGAACAATCTCATTTTTAACTTGTTCTGCCATTGATCTGGCATTCTCACCCAGCTAATGGGTAAAAAACTTTTACACTGAACTCTTTCAGAGGAAAATAGGGGAAGAGAAAGACTCCAGTTCCCACTAACCCATTCCTCAGTTTGAACTGAGAAAAGAAGATGTACCAGGGAAGATGGCTGGCCACAGACAGAAAGAATACATTAACTCCTTGCCCCTGCCCCCATGAATCTTATTCTTGAGGCCCTGGTTCAAGGGGAAGAAGAGTCAGCATTCTGGAAAACCTAACAGAGTGAAAGTCAAAGTAGGCCAGGCATGGTGGCTCACGCCTGTAATCTCAGCACTTTGGGAGGCCAAGGCAGGCGGATCACGAGATCAGGAGATCGAGACCATCCTGGCTAACACAGTGAAACCCCATCGCCACTGAAAATACAAAAAAATTAGCCGGGCGTGGTGGCAGGCGCCTGTAGTCCCAGCCATCGGGAGGCTGAGGCAGGAGAATGGCATGAATCCGGGAGGTGGAGCTTGCAGTGAGCCGAGATCGCACCACTGTGCTTCAGCCTGGGCGACAGAGCAAGACTCCGTCTCAAAAAAAAAAAAAAAAAAAAAAAAAAAAAAGTCAAAGTAATAATCCCATGGGCCTACCCAGGAAGTGATGGTGCTGTGGTCAATGGGCTTGCTGGGCACCTGTCGAGTGTGAGTGATGGGAAGCTGTGTAGATGCACAGCTGTGTTTGGGGCCCTCCAGTGGTTGATGGTGGAACAGCAGCTGGGCTTTCTGGGAAGGCTGGCGGCGTTTTTTTCTGGGAGGCATCAACCGGTGAATGAGGAACAGTTAGTAACCACATGATGCTGTTAGCCTTCGGGTTGGGTGATAGGCTCCAATTCCAACCCATGCCTGTAGAGAAGAAACAAAAGCTGAGAACAAAGAATTCAGATGATTCCCTAGCTCCTCCTGATCCTCTGCCAGCCAATTCTACCATAAACCTCAAGGCTGTGGGGAGCACAGCCTCCTATACCTACAACCATCAAGCAAAACACAATATTCATATTCAACATTCATCTAACGAACATTTATTATGTGCTAAGTGTCATGCTGGGTGCTGGGAATTTAAAGATGAATAACCATTTATTCAACAATCATTTACTGAGTGCCAAGCATTTGTAGTGATACAGAGGTCATCCCTGTTTCAAGGAGCTGAAAGTCTAGCAAAGGGAAACAGACATTTACAACACAGTATGAGAATACGATATGGTTCCATTCATTCCAAAGGAGGCCTTCTGGAAAGGAAGATACCTGACCTAGGTATGAAAGGCATAGAAGAAACAAAAAAGCAAGGAGGGCACTCCAACCTGAGGAAGAGTGTACACAAAGGCACGGAGAGGAGAAGGAGTATTGTGAATTCTGGGAATTACAAACTCAATGTATCCGGACACAGAGTATGAAAAGAAAAATGGCAGGAACTGAGGATAAACATGGTGTCAGGATGAGGTAAAAAACAAAACAAAACAAAACAAAAAAACAGGTGACACGGCTGGGGGAGGGGGCTCACGCCTGTAATCCCAGCACTTTGGGAAGCCGAGGCAGGCAGATCACCTGAGGCTGGGAGTTCGAGACCAGGCTGGCCAACATGGTGAAACCTCGTCTCTACTCAATATACAAAAGTTAGGCTGGGAGTGGTGGCTCATGCCTATAATCCCAGCACTTTGGGAGGCTGAGGCGGGCTGATCACTTTACGCCAGGAGTTCAAGGCCAGCCTGGCCAACATGGCAAAATCCCACCTCTACTAAAAATACAAAGCTTAGCTGGGCGTGGTGGCACATGCCTATAGTCCCAGCTACTCAGGAGGCTGAGGATCACTTGAACCCAGGAGCTGGAGGTTGCAATGAGCTGAGATTGTGCAACTGCACTCTGACCTGGGCAGCAGAGCTAGACTCTGTCACAAACAAACAAACAAATAAAAAAGATGTATTTTAAAAATAAAAAAGGAGGCCGGGCGCCGTGGCTCATGCCTGTAATCCCAGCACTTTGGGAGGCCAAGGTGGGCGGATCACGAGGTCAGGAGATCAAGACCACCCTGGCTAACACGGTGAAACCCAGGCTCTACTAAAAATACAAAAAATTAGCTGGGCGTGGTGGCGGGTGCTGTAGTCCCAGCTACTCGGGAGGCTGAGGCAGGAGAATGGTGTGAACCCAGGAGGCGGAGCTTGCAGTGAGCCGAGATTGCGCCACTGCACTCCAGTCTGGGTGACAGAGCGAGACTCCGTCCCCCCCCCAAAAAAAAAAACAAACAAATAAAAATTAAAAAGGGTGTAGTAGTGCACGCCCGTAATCCCAGCTACTCGGGAGGCTGAGCAGGAGAACCGCTTGAACCTGGGAGGTGGAGGTTGCAGTGAGCCGAGATTGCACCACTGCACTCCAGCCTAGGAGACAAAGCGACTCATCTCCAAAACAAACAAACAAACAAACAAAAAACAGGTGATACCATATGAGTTTAGACTTTAAGCAGAAGAAGAATTTGAGCCCACCTGGCTTTTAAAATTTTTTTCACTGCAGATAATGTCAAATATGCACTAAAGTGGACTGAATAACATAATGGGCCCTGTGTACCGATCATCCAGCTCCAGTAACTATCGGTTAGCCAGGCTAACTGTGACCCATCTACACCCCAGCCACTTCTTCTATCCCTGGATTATTTTGAAGAAAATGTATTCGGCCAGCCACAGTGGCTCATGCCTGTAATCCCAGCACTTTAGAAGGCCAAGGTGAGTGGATCACCTGAGGTCAGGAGTTCGAGACCAGCCTGACCACGTGGAGAAACCTTGTCTCTAAGAAAAATACAAAATTAGCTGGGCGTAGTGGCGCATGCCTGTAATCCCAGCTACTTGGAGGCTGAGGCAGGAGAATCGCTTGAGCACTCCAGCCTGGGCAACAAGAGTGAAACTCCATCTCAAAAAAAAAAAAAGAAAAGAAAAAAGAAAAGAAAATATATTCTATGATTCCCATTAATACGACTAAATAAATACATAAATGCTTTCTTTTTTTTTTTTTTTTTTTTGAGACGGAGTCTCGCTTGCCCCCAGGCTGGAGTGCAGTGGCCGATCTCAGCTCACTGCAAGCTCCGCCTCCCGGGTTCACGCCATTCTCCTGCCTCAGCCTCCCGAGTAGCTGGGACTACAGCGCCCGCCACTCGCCCGGCTAGTTTTTTGTATTTTTTAGTAGAGACGGGGTTTACCGTGTTCGCAGGATAGGTCTTGATCTCCTGACCTCGTGATCCACCCGCCTCGGCCTCCCAAAGTGCTGGGATTACAGGCTTGAGCCACCGCGCCCGGCCCATAAATGCTTTAACATTAACAAATATCCAGCCAGCTAGTGTTCCCATTTTTTTTTTTCTTTTTTTTCGAGACAACATGATCATGGCTCACTATAGCCTTAACCTCCCAGGCTCAGGCGATCCTCCCACCTCAGCCTCCCAAGTAGCTAGGATTATAGCACGTGCCACAACGCTGGCTAATTTTCATATTTTTGTAGAAATAGGGTTTTGTTTGTGTTGCCCAGGCTAGTCCTGAATTCCTGAGCTCAAGCGATCTGCCCACCTCAGCTTTCCACAAGTACTGGGATTACAGGTGTGAGCCACCACACCCCAGGTTTTCTATGTCTTTTTTTTCTTTC